ACCTCAACCATATACAAATTCCAATTGCTTTATTACTTTCATAATTAGGTAATTTTGATTTTTCTTTACAAGCCTTAACTCTAATCAATAAGCTTCAACAAGTTGTAATTCCTAATTTGACCATCTACTTAGTACAAAATTTTGCACATAAATACCAATATAAGTTTTTTATATGCTCAAAAACAATTCAGCATAATCTAACTTATTGATTGTGAAAAAAACGTCCAAAAAACCACTCTAATGTCACTCGGCATCTAACTTGAAAGTTGATACAAATGTTCTAGTAGAAATTTTTCCTTCTCAAATTATTAACTTTAGTTCAAATTTGGTATGTAGCTTGATCTTAAACTCTTCTAAGACCACGTCAAATTTTATCTTGTTTTGACTAGTAGATCTTTAGATATCATAGAAAATAATCCTTATGCTTTTGGAACAAGTTTAAAGCTAGCTCTCCAATCCTATTGCTAATCTCCAAATGCCTCTATATTTTTTCCAAGATAACTATTCTAGTAGCTAGAGATCTGATTTAGACCTTGTCCTACAAATAATTGATCCCCAAGTATCAATCCAACCTATCCTAGGGATTTTTTAGTCCAATCCTACCCTCAACTTAATCCTAGTCTCAACAAAATTAATAATTTATGTCTTATATCCTATTTTTATTGATTTATAGCCTTTATAAAAACAATAAAAGAATTTCTCACATCTTAGAAGGTAAAATTACTAACCAACCTTTAATCTATTGGCTATTAAGACAAGAAAATAAACTAAGAGGCTTTTATAAAAGCCACGTTTAAATGTCTTGAATTATTATTGAATCAAGATAATTAAATATTAATTAGAAATTTATTTTTATTATATTTTCATCATGTAATTATATTACAATACGACATCATGTATTAAATCTGTGATCGTAGATCATTATCACCATGGTCCTATGATTGCAAAGAGCCTTTGATCATAGTGCCCTATCATTGTAGACTTATGATTATGAAGATTCTTTCATTTAAGGCCTTGTTACTATGGTCCTATGTCTATAGATTGATACCTTAATCTATAAGCAAACGTCACGTACTACTATCCATAGCAGTTTATTGCCACAAATCCTACTTATTTTTTGCATAATTCATATCAAATTCTTGCATCACAAATTCTAGTGCAAAGTGCTTCACAGCAATCCCAATGTTGCTTCTAATGCCAAAAATCAAGAATATAAAGCTTTGTTGTAATTAAAACAAGTTTTGTAATAAGCCCCACAAAAAGATACAAAGTCAACACTGTGCCAATACACTATGCCAATCAATACAGTTGTATACAATAGTGTAGTAATATAATCTAGTTAGATTCTAGTACCTAGCACAGTAGTGCCTAAAATCTAGAAAAAAAAAATCCAAAATATAATTATTTTTTTAATTTACTTCATTTTAATTTATAATATTACATATTGAAGAAAAAAAGAGATTTTTATCAAGTAAAAGATTAGAAATCTATACCAAACTAAGTCAATCTATTTCTCATACCACAAAGGAAAAATCCAAGAGTGCAAGTATTGAAATAAGAAAAATTGTAAAGCTTTATTAAAATGGCTAAAACACCATAGCCAAGCAAATCCTTAAAATAAGTTCTTTCGCTCTCAAAATCACTCACAAGACTTGAATTGATAAGAATGTCAAGTCAAAGATTTTTCTCCACTTAAGTACTCAAATCCTAATTGATATGAATAAAGTCAACTAATAGTATCATGATATAATACAACTAATAGGTGAAAAGGGTGAAGAAATTATTATATTATAGAAGATCTTAAATCAAATATTATAGCAAATTATCTTAAAAAATAGACAATAGTCCAAAAGTAGATAAAATTAAAGGTGTAAATACTATCTTTTTATAAAATAGACTTCTATTTACTTTGTAATGCTATAAATAAGGTAAAACAAGATAGATTAGAAAAATAAAAGATATGAACATATGTAAGAAGAAGTTAGGAGTTGATTTTAGTAAAAATTAACTCATAAGAGAAAAATTTTGATACCCAAAGAGGGCCAGTTATCAATTTGGATCGAAATCAGATCCGAAGGCACAAAACTAGGCACCTATAGTAATTTGAAGGTTCTTTTGGAGATCAAATAGTGTGATTTGATAGCAAACTTGATAAGATTTTTTTGGAAATTAATTTTGAGTGATTTGAGTGTGTGATGACTTTGTAAGAGTTTTACAAAGTCACAATTGTTTTTAGGTGATTTTAAAATTTGTGAAATAAAAAAGGTATTACAATTTGGAGAATTTTGTTAGTTTGGTAGTAGATCTATGGTTCAAATTTTGAGAACTTATGAAAATAATTGTCTAAAGTATGTGCTATAAGTTTGAGCTTGATCAAATGGTTGAATTGAAGGTTATTGAGTTTCAAGTAGATTGAAATCTCAAAAATTAGACTTTGAGGGACAATTAGGATTTTTGAGATCTTTAGCACTTTACTTATTGGATTGAAGTGAAATTTATATATAAACATAATAGACTTGATTTGCTACATATAAGTGAAATTTTAAAATAATTAAATAATTTAAAAAGGAGATATTAGTACTAGAAGTTCAACATTTAGATTAGAATAGGAGGCCGGCCAATACCCAAGCGGGTTTTAGGGTTTTTCTTCTATTTGGTAAGTGTAGCTATCTTCAAATTTATTGAGCTGTTTTTTTAGCTAAGAGGTTGAGAGGTGTGTAAATTTTCAAGCAAGATCAATGGTTTAATCAATAAATATTAGGATTCTAATTTGCCTTAGGGTTTGGTTTAAGATTTGGTTTAAGATTTAGGATTTATTTAGGATTTAGTTTAGGATTTAGAATTTTTTTAGGATTTGGTTTAGGATTTAGGATTTGTTTAGGATATGGTTTAAGATTTAAAATTTGTCCAGGATTTGGTTTAGGATTTAAGATTTTTCTAAGATTTGTTTAGAATTTAATTTAGAATTTAGGATTTGTTTAGGATTTAGGATTTGTCTAGGATTTGGTTTAGATTTTAGGGTTCATTTAGGGTTTGCTTTAGAGTTTAGGGTTTGATTTAGGATTTAAAGTTTCTTTAGGATTTAAGATGTTACTTAAAATTTGATTGAAGTCCATTAGGATTTCAATTAAGATTAATTTAGGACTTCATTGAGATTTATTTAATATATATTTGTGATTATTTTAATATTTCTTTAGAATTTCTTTTAAGATTTATTTTGAATTCCTTTTGAACTCCTTTAAGATTTTTTTTGTTTCTTTTGTAATTTCTTTAAAGTTTCTTTTGAATTTGATTAAAACTTGATTAGCATTATTAAGGATTTAATTAGAATTATTTAATATTCTATTAGAATTAGGGTTATGTTGTTGCAATTTACATTCTACCTTCCACATCTAGATTTGTATAATACGACAACAAAAAAACTATCAATGGATAAAAAACTACTAACCAAATTAAACTATGTACATTTGATGGAATTTGGCATCCAATGCCATACCACATAACAATGCCTTTCAATTTTCTTTAATCTCTGCAAGTTGCTTAAACTTCCATTCTAAGAATGAGTTTCAAGATGTCATGTTGGATAACCAAATATCACATGTTTTTGAATTTTGGAAACTCAAATATCAGAGATCACTTGAAATATTACCTCCTCAAATATCATTGTTCAAACTTTATTACCTCCTCAAATATCATTGTTCAAACTTTATTACCTCCTCAAATATCATTGTTCAAACTTTATTACCTCCTCAAATATCATTGTTCAAACTTTATTACCTCCTTCAAGTTTTTGAAATATCACTTGATATTTTGGTGATTTGAAAAAGTCAAAGCAATTAAAGCATAGGAAAGACATTTAGGACAAATGAGGAAGTTTGTGATATTTCACAAGCCCTTCTTGTAATATTTGGATTTCAAAATCATTCACTTAGCCAAGTGGGTCATTTTAAAGTATCAAGTGATATTTTGAAATATCATGTGATACTTTGATATACCATCACATTTGATACATCACCCAAAAACCTTAAGTTTGAATCTCCTTCCTAGGTATGAATTTTCTTAATTATATCAAAGTGCTCTACTTCAAAGTTGCAACTATTCAAAGGAAGGCTACTTCCTACTTCAATTTACAAAGCAAAATGATGAAAAATAGTGGAAAAAGAAATAAACACATGGCAATGGAATTTCTTTCTTATCATGGGAATTATGCTGCACAGATTAGAGAGGAGCTATGATTTGCAGGAAGTAGACTCATATGATGGACTGAAACACAAACTAGTTGGAAAACCATGTGTCAAGCAAAGAGCAACTTACTGCATTAAAAGTGCAAACTGAAGGTGTTATGTAGCTATCAGTGACCCACTTGACTGACGGTGAAGATGCTCATGCGCGGAAACTCTTATCTTCAATACCTAGTTTCCAATTTCTTGAATATATGATCCTCTCCTTTTCCATTCACATTATAATATCTGCATGTTTATCCACTTGCGGAGTTGCACTACATGGTGTCTAGGAGCACTACACTCCTATCTCATGATATGGGCAAAAGCCTGTTTGTACATATACAATGTTTATAAACAGCGCCCTAAACACTAAGCCCTAAACCTAGATGCATATACAGGAGGAATCAATAGTTTGAGGAGAATGGTGACATCAACATTTCGCTCGACATTAGCTTCTTGCCTGGCAATTTTATAAGTTGCCAGTGAGCGACCATGCATGGTGAATTTGTGAGAATGTGTGCAAGAATGCATGAGCAAGATATTCTCCCAGCTCGATTAGCTCATTATCGTTGCACAGTTGACCGTTGGCGTGTGTTTCTGAAGCTTCGTGAAAACGAAAAGATTGGCCATTTCCTTGCCCTTGCCCATCAAACTTGATATGCTTGGTTATGATTTGAATCGCCGACTAGTAATCCAAGGGACAACGTTGTTTTTGCAATTTTGATGACAATCCTCACATTGTCAATGAGAAAAGTCTACACTCATTACTGCTACTCATCGGACAATTCCTCGGTTGCATTGAATGCATCGAAGTTCTGTGACATGAGGATTCTTACTGGAAGAACTCCTGGAACGTCTCTGATAACTGTCATATATTTTCAAATTTCTTCTAATAACATCAAATTTCCTACTACGGTACAAAATGTATGCAAGCACAGTCATCCATCCAGATTACTTCCAAAAACCGTACTTTAATATTCAAGTAATTAGCTATTAAACCCGTCTAAGCAGAACTGCTAATACCTCACATGAGATTGTTCAACTTCCAATCCTCAAACCTATGAGGATAAGCGCAAAATAGTTAGATCATGGGACTCGAAGATTTAGCAAATTCCAAGCCATTGGCACAGATCCTTCAAAATGACGACATTGGGGATTGCACTCAAAGCTCTCAATTCCTTGCATAGAAATCCGTGGATGCTGACCACCTCTCCACAACACCTCCTAGCGGCGATGATGTAGCAATACGCGAATTCCACCTCATTCCTCCATAGGTGCTACACCTTGATCAGCGGGATCTATATTGCTAGTTCGAACAGAGATTTGCTGTCCTAGGAGCTCCTAAAAGATAAGAATCAGAACAGAAGTTTGCATCAAAAACCAGTGGAGTGTACCTGCAGCCTAATCTTGTCCAACTTGCCCAGCATAAAAACGTTTGAACCAGTCGAGATTTCGGTACATTAATCTATGTCATTTATTCACCGCACCCAAACACTCTGCAAATTCATATCCCTAAACCACCTCATTCATACACTACAGCATTTAATGAGTTAAAACATCCTCCGGCATTAAGATGATCTCAGACCATCCATTTGAGTGAACTTTAAATGACATGGTGCAAATTCTAGCGTCGGGAGACAGAATCACTCCGGACATTGGAGATGAACTGAGATAGCTCTGAGACTGGTACATAAATTTCAAAGATTCCGCACAAAGTGATTTTCTCAACATACCTGTGTGGGTTGCAAAGGGAGTACACTGGCAGCTTGATGTGCAGCCGCTTGCAGACTTTCTACAGCTTGTGGAGGGATGTTTCCTATCAACGGAGCCGATGCTATCGGAGGCAATGGGTTGGCAGGAGTAAGGGTTGCCACAGGCGGTGGAAACGCTACGTCTTGGACAGGAGCTTGCTGTTGGGGAGGAATCTCGACCGAAGTTTCCGCTGTAGGAACTTGAGTTTCCTTTTCTAGGGCTGCCCCAGTTTTTTCCTCAGTTGGCTGAGCCTACACCAATATATTACTAAGTTGAGAAAAAGAGCCCAGGAGAGGATGGTCTCTTTGGCATGTTCCACGAGCATACACAGAAATACCGGTAAACCACGGAGATATTGGTAGATGTGTACGAAAGGGGCTAGCACCACCCTACGTTGATCAACACGATCAAATTGACGGCATCTAATCTCGTAATAATTATCTTCTTTTCCACGTATAATTATATCCACAATTGGTTTTGTTTACAAGAACCAAGTTTCACGTCAATATACAATCATAAGACAACTGCTTTCATTATAAAACACAATTACCATAGATAATGGTATGTTGCAACAAGCAACCAATCAAATAAGAAGCAAAGGTAGTTCAGTCAGAGAATGAAAAGTCTCATGATTTTACAAATGAACGATATTTAAGTAATCGTGGTGCACTTACTGAAGTTTGCGGCACAGCATCTTTCGGTTGTGACTGAGTCGATTCTTCACCCGTAGATTTCACACTTGTTTCAGGGGATTTCGTTTTCGATGCATTCTCCACCACAGGCTCAACGTTGCCTTGCTTCGCTGGGGAATCCTCTGCTAAGGTTTTGGGTGCTCCCATTGCTACGGCTCGTTTCTGCGCAACAATACTCGCCAACGGATTACAATGCGATAGCATACCACCAAATGTACAGAAAAGACAGAACTATACGCATCATCTGCGAATTGCACTAAATAACCACTTAGTCTATCAATATTTATGCACCGTAACCAAACAAATCATGGCATAGATTCTTTACGCACTCGCATCCACTTGAACTCAAATCTCTAACCTCTGGGACTCTGATCTGAGTATTCATTACATTCATAAGAAAATTTGAGCTATAAAACAGAAGGTGATAACAGCAAACGAACTCAAATGTCTCTGCACCGGTGAATGACAACATTGCAGAGTTGCACATACCTCCTGAGCTTCCGGCTGCTCTGCAGCAGCCTCTGTAGCTCCTGGCGTAGCAACTACTGCTGGATCTGATCCATGACCTGGCGCTTCTCCTTCTTTATTTAGCAGTCCGGACTGATCGCTTGGAGGTGCTTGTTCAGGAATCTTTCTGCCATTCATCTCAGCACTGGTAGGTTGATGCTCTGCAACAGATTTTCCATTCTCTATAGATGGTACCACAGGCTCTGGAGAAGTCTTTCCTTCTTCGGCCTGGAAAGTACATCGACGTTGTTTCAAACAAAATTCAGCGAGCAAATAAAAAGTAATAAAGCCATCATGGAACTCGGGCCATGTCTTCTTCCCTGATTTCATACTTCTTTAATTCAGGTCAGTTAATGAGAGCCTTCACAAAAACGTCATGCAGCAATCTGCAATCAATGCTCTCAAAAAATGTACTATCCGAAGACTAACGACACAGCAGCTTAAATGGGAGAATAAACACCTACAGTTTGCTGCTGTTTTGGAGAACCCCCAGATCTATCGTCCTTGAGCTGCACACATGCGTTTTCATCAATGTGAAAGGTGAATTCAGAAGTCAAGATGATGCAAAGTTCAACAAAATAAAAAAAACTTCAGGGTTCTGAGAGTATGATTCGACAGAGGGTAATAATTGTAAGAATCAAAGCCATTATCCAAACAGCAAAGAGCATTATACTAACATTAGCACTTGCATCCATAGGTTGCGCTTGTTGATTTTGTTCAATACTTTCAGACGGACGCTTGGAAAGTGGGGTAGACTCAGGATCAGCTTCTGCACTGCGCTTAGCGGTCTGCTGCGGTGGCAATGTTTCTTGTACAGATCCTGCCATGACGCTCCACCCAACGGAATTTGCAGGGGACAATTCACCTCACACGCTTGTGTAGCTTCAGAAGATAAATAAATATACTGCACGGAATAAGCAAACACCTCACATCATTGTCGTGCAACCCGAAAAGCTCTATGATGCTATAAGTTCGTTAAAACAGGACTTAAGAGCTTCCAACAATTTTATCTGCACAATATCAAATGTGCGCCTTCATCTCAACAAGGTTTTCCACTGAAACCGCTTGCAGATATGCTGACATACTCCACTGTCGAAGTCTCACGCAATGTTAGACTACAATTCCCTCATCGCTCCAGCATCCAGAAACCGCACGCTGGGTTATGTGAGTATCCTAAAAAAATAAAGAAGTTGTCGCGTCTACTAAAATACTGTAGATATGCAGTACTCCCGCAATGTGCTACACCTGCACTAACATTCCCGAGGATCTTAAATATGCATACCGAACGAGCCCTGGAAATCTCACACAAACCTCCAGCTGATAATAACAGCCTTCATACTTCCTCTTTTCCAGCACATTTCAAAACCTAGCGTACACTAGCATCTCAAATGCCATGAGAAATAACTGATGCATCGATAAGCGAGACAAGTAACGAAATACATGAAAGGTAGTATGTAAAGACCCTTACGGAGGAGATATGTAAAAACTCCACAAGTTTTGAACGTGTCCAGCTTGCTAAAGCTCGAAACGCCACATTTGTCAACGACACTCCTCAAGAAGGAATTGAGCTGACAATACGAGAGACAAACTCGAATACTCACTGCGATCGTGTACGTCCATCAATCGGAACTACAGGGCCTCGAATGCATCACTATCACCGATGCGTCTGTCACGAGGCATCACGGGGTTCGCATTAAACCCTCAAGCGTAAGACACCATGTTCCAATGCATTTCCCTCGTTTCCAAAACCATATCAAAACCAACGAGAACCAAAGAGTCCAACGCGGTCATCACTCGCAGAGCAACTCCACACAAGCCCAAAACTAAGCATCAATTGAACCGAAATTCTCACATCCTCTAAAATTCCCATCATGTCACAACCATGCGAAATACCCGCAACGTCGTCATCAACGTTTCCTTTTCTCTTTTTTCTCTCTAATGGCCATCCCCCCTGCTACACCATCACAAAAACAACAACAGCTCTCCCTCAAAGCTTGTTGCGTCACGAGCTGCACCACAATTACACTCAAAACTCGGACTCTCACCATGTCATGCACACAACCCCTCCCTCAGTGCCCGAACTCCCAGCTACTACAACTTACAAACCCCCGCAGCTTCATTGCTCTAAAACGCACCATCTTCTACAATCTACACGTGAGAGGTATGGCGCTGCTGATCATCGCAAACTTACACGAATCAATCACGCTTAGAGCTCGTCGAATGCTGGACCTTCAATGAACAACAATCGCGCCCCTCAGTCTTCAATGTCCCTTGCCATAATTTGAAGACCCCTCCAGGCTTCCTTCCGCAGTAGCGTTTTCTTTCTTTCTCACGCTGCCCCAAGTGCTGGGGTTCCCGTCGCCCACGTTCTCTCGTTCCCCAGGTCACACCCCGACGTTGATACGACGTTCTCTAGAAGGTTTTTTTTTATGATGGAACTGTTAGGAACGGTGAGGGAACATGGCAAGTACGAGAAGAAATATTGCGGGCAGCTGGTGCGAGATGGCGCCGCCAGCGGCTCACAAGTGGCAGCAGCAGATCGCTTGCCGATAGTTCCCCACCGTGGATTTTCCATGACCGTTCTGTGCGGAATCGACGCTGGTGTTTCGTCTTGTGCTTCCATTTGAATACGCTCTTGTGGATCCTACTTCTACAAGGGGGGTGCCCCTCCATTATTGCCTTTGGAGCCCTAAATATCCAAGCTTTTTTTTTTTTTACCTTTTAGTACGAGAATTTTTATCCTCGAGGAGAAAAATAATAACAATAATCACCGTTCAGAGATGATACCCGTAGCCAACATAATCCTAAATTTACACCTTGTTTTGTAAGGATAGAATAAATTATAGAGTTTCAAAATAAAGAAAACATTTTTTAGCAACTTGAAATGTTTTAATCACGCACTTAAATAAATCATTCTACTACCTAGAATTTTAGTATTTTTTCAACTGAAGAAGAATGGTTGAACATGTGGTTTATGCCTCTAAACCATTAATCATTCATGAAAAACATAGTTGATTTAAATTTGAATCAAATTCTTAACAAGTCCATTAATTTACTTTTTGTGGCATTGTGTGAAACTTCTAATGCAAAGCTGATTAAATTTGTACAATATGTCAAAATGAACCCATAACACAACAAATTCTATTACATGCTGCCATGCATTCAAGAAAGTAAACTACAGCTATTATAGACTTGACTATACTGCACTTAAAAATGAGCATTTTTGCTGTGAATGATTGAATAATGGCAACATTATTGCTGTGTCTAAAATCATCCCCTTTGTCTCACAACAAGGTTTTTGTAGAAGATATATTATTTACATATATTTTCTTAAATGTTAAAAAAATAAATTTATGTTTCGTTCCATAAACAAAATCACACTTATCTATGTCTATTTGAAATTTTATATTTACACAATGTTCCTCATTAATAGTAATTGAATACAAAGCTCATTTTGGGTTTTGGGTTTGTTTCTTACACCAGGAGTTCACAACAAAACTATGTAATAATTTCTTGTTACATAACCCCCAAACACCAAGAACAAAATTAACCAAACCAGAGTAAGAAAATAAATATATGGAAAGAAAATGAAGGGGAAAAAAGGGAAGAAAAGAAAAGAGAAACTAAATTATTAGTTATGAATGAACTGATAGGTGAAAAAAGTTGATCCTACCAGTTGACGATTAAGTTATTATACATAACAAACTGTAGAAGTCACATCATATATATATATATATATATATATATATGCACATTTAGGTGTATGTCGATCATGGAACACAAAGTACATTCAATGAACAGCTTAGTTTTGGTGGTAGAGAATAAGCCTGCGAAGATGAATTAAAACGTTGGTCATTCAAAGCATCAACTCAACAGAAAAGAATTATAAGTTGTTAATGTATAATACATAACATTAAGAGAAAGAGCGACATATTAAGATCAAGTGTGAACGCAGACCATGAAACCCAGCTGGACCCATCCCCGCCTTATCCACAACGGAAGCCAGCCACGGCGAAGAGCATTCACTCCGGGTTCCATGACCGTGGTTCACAACGCGAGGTTGTGCTTGCAAGGCCCTGCTGCCCTTCAAGCTTCGCGCCTGTGTCGCCTCCAATTTCCTTCGCAGAGTCTGCAGGGATCGCAAATCTGCTACAACAGAACACCGCATCCACTCTCTTGCCCATCATGGCTCTCTCGGCGCCCGCATTGGCGCAAAAATCTGGCGCAATTAGCGGCAATATGTTGCGGAATTCGTTTCTAAGCGAGTCTGTATCGTTGCAGAGAGTGTCTGGTAGCGTGAGCTTGGTTAGGTTTGCGAGAAAGGAGCTGACGGTTGTGGCGAACGGGAGGAAGGCTGCAGTGGTGACGAAAGATGAGAATGAGGTGGATCAGCGGTTCAGGTTGAACAATTTGTCGCCGCAGCCTGGGAGCCGGCACAGACAGAAGAGGAAGGGGCGTGGTATCGCGGCAGGCCAGGGGGCCAGTTGCGGGTTCGGTATGCGAGGGCAGAAATCGAGGTCTGGGTCGGGCGTGAGGCCGGGATTTGAAGGTGGTCAGATGCCCTTGTACCGTAGGTTGCCGAAGCTGAGAGGAATCGCCGGTGGCATGGGAGCGGGTTTGCCCAAGTACGTGGCAGTGAACTTGACCGACATTGCTGCGAGTTTCCAAGAGGGCGAGGAGGTTTCGCTCGAAGCTTTGAAGGAGAGGCGTGTCTTGAACCCTTCGGGTCGTGACAGCAAGCTACCGTTGAAGGTTCTTGGCGATGGCGAGCTTGACTTTAGGGTGAAGATCAAGGCTGGTGCCATCTCTGCTGCCGCGAAGGAGAAATTGGAGAAACTAGGATGCGAGTGCGAAATTCTGCCCAAGAAGAAGAAATGGGTCTCTGCTCAATACTCGAAGAACCAAGCACGTGCAGACGCCTACTTCGCCAAGAAGAGGGGCGACAGCGCTTAGATTCAGGTCAAGGTTGAGGTTCTTTCCGCTTTCAGTAGCTTCAAATTCTCAATATTCCAACAGGATTTTTCAGGCAATGTAGGACATGCTTCAGTTAGGATTAGGTCTTATCGCCCACAACACATTTTGTGGCGCAAAAACATTCACCTCAATGCCGAAATTGATATCACCACTTCCAAAAAAGTCTGATAATTATTGAGAATTGAGTTGTTGTGGTTTGCTTTTTTTTTGTCATGAAGGTGCCGCAGCTTGTTCTGATGTGCTACAGAGGTTGTGGAACAGGTAACCATCCTCGAATTTAACGTTAAACATAATCTTATACAGTTTGTCCGGACATTCACTATTTTCATGTTATGTGAATGTGGTGGTCTACATTCCTACCAATCAGGGATTTGTTTTGTTTTGTTTTTGTTTTTGTTTTTTGTTTTTGTTTTTTTGGATTTCGACAATACAAGCAAATTATATTTGATATTCTTTGAAGTTGCTTCAAATTCTCATTGTGAAATGCACAAGACATGTCTTGTGTTTTATTCGAAGTGACAGTTGCAGTCCAGATGCACTTGGATTTATGACTTTCTTCTCACTGGTAATCAAGGCCAACAGTGTTACAACTTATTGCAAAATTTATTGTTCTTGACAACTAGCAGTAATCTGTGAAGAGTTTGGAGAAGCAAAATAACCTCAACTTTAACCTCATTTTATCATCTAATGACCTTATTCTTTACTATTTTCGCTCTTCAATGTTCGTGTGCATTTCTTCTGTCTTTTAATTTGAGAGGTATTTTGTATAAAGTACTGATAGTTCAGTTGTCAAATTGTTGGTTTTTCATATTTGATTTAAAAAAATCAACTCATCTAACTTCGGCTAATAATTGTTGCTAGAATATATTGCACTTGGTACAGTACATTATCCACGTCGTTATGTTACAACTAGTGGCATAGACATTTAGTTGTTGTGCTGCCAGTGTTGTACAAACGTCACAGTGTTTTTTATTCTTTTACAAATGAATTGATCAAATGAAGTTGTGATGTGATAGTTGGTAACCTGTTGACAAGATGTGCCCTAAAACTTAGGTTTATTTGATTGATTGTTGGATTCCCATCATCAAAATATTTGTACACAATAGTATTAATATGTTGCCTGTTTTATCATTCTCCAATACACAATGTCTTTTTCCCATTATCGATTATCTTATCACCGTAAAAACAATTACAAGACTTTGGCACTAGTACATAAATTATTCATAGAAATTATCTAAATTTAATATTTAGAGTATCTGTATATATTTTAAAATAAGGTCACAAATAAGTAGAAATGTGTTTCAATGGTTATGCATCACATAGTAGCCAAATGTGAATGTCTCTATTTTAAACACATCTAAGAAACAATAGTCAAAGTCAAGTACAAACAAAAGATTGTGTTTATTGTGAGCTTAATCTTTATTTATGTTTTACCAATTTGTCAACTTATTGTATGATCCCTTTTACTTTAGAAAACAAACTTGGCATTTATATCTTGCTCGTTGTTTTAGAATTTGACAACACTAAATTCTCATATTAATATTATTAAGAGTTATCTTATATTTGTATTTTTGATATCTTCATTAAATTTCACATAATAGCCAATATTGTATCTATGATATAAGTACATATTAGAACATCCCATGTCAAAGTTTTTAGAATAACCATTATAAAAATTTAAATTGATTCCAACAAATAAATGCACAAGAATCATAAAATAAAATACTTGAATATTAAAAGATTCATAAGCTTCTTTTTTTGACTTTTTAACAAAACCATGAACTACTTGTACTTTTCGATTGCAAATTATCACAAAATCTACTATTTACAATACTACAAAGACAATGAAAAAGTAAAAGTAAAAGTAAAAGCACTTATACCCTCAATCACATCTATTTGAAGCCCAAGAAATCACTCACCCTACGTCACACACAAAATCACAAGCCAACAAACACAGAAAGAAAAGAAAAGAAAAGAAAAGAAAAAAAAGGGAAGTAAAAAGGTAAAAGCCAAGCCCCTCCTTCCCTCCCTGCCTGCGCGGGTGGCAGGAGAATCCCAAGGGTTCCCAGCGCCGTGCAGCGCGGGTCCGGCCCCTCACCGGGGATCTCTCACACTTTTAAAAATTTCGGCCGAATTTCAAAACCTCGGTCTCGTCAAGGCGCAGTGCCTCTCTCGCTCTCTCGCTCACCTCCTCCTCCTCTTCATTGCCGCGCCAATTCTCTGCTTGTTTGCAGAGCCAGATTCTTTGCGAGAGCTTTCAAGGCAGTTGGTTGTGTGAACCAGCTCGCGAGATTTTATTTTATTTTATTTTATTTTATTTTTTTCTCACCACTGGTGTGGTATTATTGTGTGGCGTGAAATGGAGGGGAAGGTTTCCTGTTGTTGATGGAAATTTGGGGTAAGAGGTGGTGGTTAGTTTGCTAGGGTTTGGTGATCGCGTTATGGTTGAGCGAGGAGCGTCACGAGCGAGTTCTTAAGGAAGGGCCTAGAATTGGTGCAGGTGGATTTTTATTCGCGGATGTTGGCTGTATTAATTTAAAAGTGAGGTGGCGATGGTTCCAGTAAATTGGCGGGAGCGGATGGTTTCAGGTTTTGGAGAACTTTAGGTGTAGGTGAAGTGCGTGATTCTATTGGAGTGCAATGATAAGGAGGTGTGGAGGGGAAAATGCGAAGGGATTACGATTGCTCAGTGTTGTTGCTGCACTCTGGATTGTCACGAAAGACGTAGGAGGCTTGTTTTTGTCAGGATCAAGCAGGAATTTGGTTCTGAAAGAGAGAAGGCGTGGGTCTCTAGTGCTTTCAGAACTGTTGTACATTTATGCGTAGGTCGAGGGCGAGCATAACACCTTCATCATGGGTGATGCTCTAAAATCGACAGTTATGGAAGTGTCGGACACTTCTGCGACAGCAGCTTCAGATCTTCATGAGTCTCCGCCAGCTCCTACTGCAGCTCCGGGTATGAGTACTTCTTCTTTAGCCAGTTGCTGTCCGATTCTTTTGTGTGCTTTGAACGTTTTCTTTTTTTACTAACCCTAGACCTCTTGCTGACCATTCAGAAGGGACTCCCTTGCATGAAACAAGGTCATGACGTTAAACCTTAAATTAACTATGTCACCGCTAAATTTCTTATGTTCAGATTTATGTTCCTGTTGTACCATGAACCTCAATTTAATCTTCACCTTCCGATCCACTTTGTTGTCCGTGTTAAAAAATTTTAAAGTTTTCAGGGAATCGTAGTTAGTCCGCTGTAACAGAGCAACATTACTCATTTCATGCTGCTGCATGGTTAATTTGTCTTGGACTACTGAGCAATAATTTCACTTAAAAAATCGACTCGGTATTCATGTTGAGTGTCGCAAAGAATTACACACGTAGATGGGTTTAGTGAACATAACTTATGATGCATCATTCAGATACTTAGCGAACTAGAACTGGAAAAATCATGTCAATTATTTTATTTGTAGGTCGCATTGGTTGGAGGCTTCCCTTCTCTTGATTTCCTTATACTGCAGTCTCTGTTCTGACAAATAGTCTAGTGTGTAGTATAGCTAGTTCATTTGCGGAGGGCAAAGCTTTGGCATTTATTATGCATGTTTGAACCGTATGCGTGCCATCGAGAAATACTTGTTTGACAAGTAGATATGGGGATTCGAATGAACGTTGTAGATCCCACTCATGTAATGGCAATATATTGCTCGAATTATCACTGTAGATAAATCCCAGCTTTCTGCCTGCAGGGAGTGTGGCAGCTGGAAGCCAGCCACCCGCAGCTCTTGAAGCTTTTTCTCAACAAGTGAAAAGCCAACCGTTGGCCTTTACACCAGCGTCTCCGGTGATGCCAAGGTAACACTGATAGATGATTTAGTACGCTGCAATCGCTTCTCCGGGAATCTTTATGCTAGCAATTTCCAGTTTTCAACTACGAAGACCAGAACTCTTCAGTCCGTGTCCTAAAACTAGTTTCGGTAATTGGGAATTTATGTGGTGATGAATATCGTTTTAGGTTTATGTTTATTATTGATTAGTACAAACTTCCAATTGATGTAGGGTTTAAATTCATCAATAGTTAGTGTTTTAATAGTTAAATTGACGGTCTACACGTGATTTCTTTTCGAGCATCTCTTAACAAGAGACTGTGTTATCCCATCATCATGGTTTGTAGGCCTGTTTTACGGTCGATGGACGTTGATCCATCCCACGTGATTATGGCAGTTTCAACACCGTCTCAAACTTCTCAAGTGGGAGATCATCCTACAAGAAAAGCTGTACCGAGGCAACTTGATTTTACAACCATGTATGGAGGCCCTGTTGGGCTAGCAGACAACTCTGTCCGCACACCTCAACCTTCTTTGTACGGTACTTAACTTTTTCTCTGTACACGATCCAAGTAATATGGTAGTTCTGATGTCTTCCTATTCCATACTGATTAGGACTTAGAAGCGCTAAGCCTTCATTTCTCTATTCGTTTCTTCTCTCGACTGAATGCCTGTCCTTGAATTGAAGATTGTGTTTTGTAATGAAAAATCCCTATGGGGTGAGTAATCGATTTAGATCTCAAGGCATTTTAGATGGGCTCTGAGATATTGTATTTTTAGCCCTATAACCCTTAGGCGTAAATTTTTAAAATCAAATTAATAACCATATCTCAATGCTAATGTCATGTATGCGTGTTCGAATTACGGATGGATGAACAGGAAGCACGAGTCTCCAAGACAGCGATCAAGGTCCTTCGATGCAAAGGATGGCACGCCAAAGAAGTGCAAGCAATGTAACTGCAAAAACTCTCGCTGCTTGAAACTGTAAGCATTATATCTACCTTCAGAGCTGGTTTTTGTTCATTGAAAGGTGCTGCCTTCTCTAACTCGGTAACTTTAAGCCGTAGCCTTCTCATTTTTGTGCCTCTTTGTACTTTCTGGTTGTCTCCAGCTTTTATTGTGCAACAGATAGCTCATTCTGATCCATGGGTGAATAAGAGAACTCGTACGATTTTCTAACAATGAGTACATGAAAACGTGGATGCAACAGGTATTGTGAATGTTTTGCCTCAGGTACATATTGTGAGGGTTGCAATTGTGTAAACTGTTGCAACAATGTTGAGAATGAAATCGTTCGTCAGGAAGCAGTGGAAGCCACCTTAGAGCGAAATCCCAATGCATTTCGGCCTAAGATATTTAGCAGTCCTGGTATACGAGACTCGGGGGTATGTTAACTTAGTTCAGTAAATCTTGAAGCTTGCTAATAATGAACGTTTGACACGAAATGAAATTCCTGAAAAATCAGAATGTTTTAATTTCTGGTTTTGTGAGGAAAATCATTGAAATGTCAAAATCATGAATCGTATTCCTTCTGTTGTACCAAATTATATTCCATAGTTTCATTATTTTTCTTAACCTGGGCGAGTGGTTGACGAAACTGATGGCATCTTGGTTATTGCAGGAGGATGTTGGAGAGCATCCTCTGGCGGGCAAGCACAACAAAGGATGCCACTGTAAAAAGTCGGGGTGCCTCAAGAAGTATTGCGAATGCTTCCAAGCCAATATTCTATGTTCCGAGAATTGTAAATGTGTTGACTGCAAAAACTTCGACGGTAGTGAAGAGAGACGAGCGCTGTTTCAAGCAGACCACAACATGAGTGTGAATTTTATGCAACCGTTGGGAGGCAGTGGAGTTTTATCAAATTCACCCGCATATTTGTCTCCTTCACCTCTTCTGAAGAAACGACGAACTCACGAGCTTGTATTTTCTGGACCTGGCTTGAAGGAGCAGGTTTCAGTGAAAAGGACACCTTCTTTGCCTTTGCAGGTACGAGATCTCTTCCGCTTTTGGGTAACTTGATTATTTGAAAAATCTTTGATGTGTTAATAAAGGTTTCTTATTGTCTAAATTTGTATTCATATCGCGCCCTCCACTTACACTTCCGGTATGTATTGAGTTCCCCATCCTTTGGTTCTCCTTAAATATGCACCTTGTGTATATCTGTACTAAAGTCAATGTTTCAAACTTCTAGATATCTGATATTGATTTGTTGATGTATTGCAGTTAACATCTGGGGGTGGAACCGCTCCCTCTTTGAGCCTTGCACTGAGTTCCACGATTGCCTCCACACCTTCAAGTCAAGGAGTCTCACCGGCTGTGCCACCAGCCAAGCCAATGCACAAGTACTCTTCGAATCATATTCTATCTCATGCCGTTTGTTTAGGATGGGCAACAATTGAGCTTACTTTTCAGGGATCTGCATCCTGATTCAAATTCTATTGAGTGGTGATAGAATGCACAAAGTCATGATGGCACCAGAGAATCATTCTCTTTATTATGGTCCATGTAACTTATTAAATATTTCTACATTGATTGGAATCAAATGGGTATGATGAACCAAACGGGTATGACGAAGAGCTTTTAGCGTTCAAGCGCTTGTAGTTATGAGGATGATGAAGAAAATGGTTACTGACGTAAGCTGCTTCATGTTCTGTAGATCATTACTGGCAGGTGTTGTGCAAATTGAGGCCATCCATGAATTATGCAAGCTTCTTGTTGTCGTTTCTTCTGAAACTCAAAAAGAAATTTTAGGTATGTTGCTCTCAGATGTGGCCAACAGTAGCACCTTAAGGGCTTTTTCGCAGTCTTTTCAGTGGTTGTGATTGGTTGTAACTGCAAATACATTCAGATGATGTCTATTTAATTTGGTAGAGACAGCGAGTATCAATTTTTTATTCTTTCTTCATTCTTTTTTCTTTGTAAATTTTCTTGGCACTGCTGTTTCAAGTGCATACGCTATCAGTGCAGTTCACTTTGAGACCTGTTGGATTACATTTGTTGCATGATCAAGTCGACTTACTCGTGTGCTTTAATGATATGAATGTGTATTCCGAAAACTCCTCTCTGAATGTTGGTTTGGTTTATAGCAGCCAAACATTCGTTATCACATACAACGAAGATAATAAATAGTGAAACCGACGCTTCACTGGAACCTGCACCAACGGCTTGGACAGTGGATGAAAGGAACCATGGGCAAAAGGCGGAGAAATTGTTCAGTGACCGGGCAGTAACAACCACAGGTCCTGATGACGAAGATGCTGATAAGCCACAAAGACCTATGTCTCCGGGAACCCTAGCGTTGATGTGTGACGAGAAGGAGCCGTTGTTCACCGCCCCACCTTCTCCAATAGGAGGCTTAGCATCAGAAGAACTAAGCACTTCGGGTTCCCCACAAATAGCCCTTCTGCATGCAGAACAAGAGCGAGCAATTTTATTGGAATTCCGAGATTGTTTACGAAGAATAACTTCAGTGGGAAACCGACGAGGTATGGTTCTTGGCTCTTTTCTCATGCCCTTGAGTTTTCGTATGCACGGTTGATGCTTCTTCTCAACTTCCCGGTTTTATTTTTTTGATAAAATGGGTGAGTTTCTTTATATCCTTTGCCTTTATCCTAGAGGACCTTACTTAGAAGTTGCGACTCATATGCCCTGCAGCCAGTCGATATTCTAACGAGATCACGCACTCGGAAATGTACGTCTTGGCATCAGGTCAGCTCAACCAACAAGAGGGTGGAGCTCTTCGGTCCACTAGACCCATAGTATCCCCTGGCGAGCATGGTTCACCGAGTGCTGTAGGCACTAGTTCCTCATGTACCATTGCCTTTAAACCATCTAATTTAGGTCTGCGTTTGCGTTCACCTGAAGGACCACCCACAAGAGTATCCCAATGATTCTTGCGAAGATGAGGGACAGATTTTCGCCTTCAAATTTACTCACATTGGTAACTCATTTTAGAAAATCGTTACTGTGTATAAAAGAAACTGATTTACATAAAAGCATGTAAGATACATCATACCCCACCCCCCCCCCCCCTTTGGCTTGAGGAACAATGTGTTGATTGTCCATGGTTGACAGTGACTTTGAGCTCTTCTAGGAGGTGTGGGTCAAGGGCTTGCGATTCAAAGCCAAGATCAAGTCCTGACTTCCTTCAGCATATTGGTTGGATTGATTGGGTTAATGTGATTCAGCTCATCGAGTTGAAGAAATGCTCCTTTTTCACGTCTACAGGTTTCAATTGTAGCCAGTAAGAGTTTACACAATCATGCTTCTGTTTATTAATCAGCAACCCCAGGTCTAATTAAGCTCTATAAAGGAATTTCTTAGAGGTTGGCTTACTAAGTCATATGCTTTGAAACATTATTTTAGGCAGAGGTTGATCACCGCTTGTTATTTAAGTGCCCATGACTGATTCTTAATTCAAAATAGTTTTTACTGATAAAATATTATAAAACTCTTCATGTTCTCCCATCCTGAGAACGGATGTATACACTCTTACGTTTTCCAGAAACATTATTACATTTGAATCTCTTAAATGTGCAAGTTGTAGAGATGCATTGCGACATATATATATATATATATATACATGTCAATAGATATCTCAAACAATTGATGTACAAAGGTCTGACATGGCATCACAAAAGTGTATGTATATACATTGTATTTCCAAAAGAAAAAGAAATATTGATTTTCCATATTAAAAACATGAACGAATAATTTCGACATTTCTCTCTACTCACTGAAAAATGAAAATTACTGTTCTTCACGCGGCAGTAAAATTCCTAGGGGAAGATGGTGCAAACTCACCTAACAAATTGTTTAAAATAAACAGAAGAGAGAAAAAAGACAAAAAGAAAAAATCGGAATTCTTCTATTCTTTTCCGAAAAGTTCTTGCGTTTTTGATAAATTCCAGGGCTTTCGAAGGTACAAAGAGGAATTTAAAGACGGCGGACCAATCCACCCAGATTTTGCTCAAAATAATTCTCTCCGAATTCTCCCGAAAGTCCCTTGTCGCTGCTGAAGCAACTCCTAAATTTCCAACCTCATTCTGCGGCTGTCGTTGAGAATGCTTCCCACGTCATGACACTGACGTGGGACGTCAACATTGGCAGCGCTGAAAACAAATTCTCACCTAGTGCGACGTTGCCGTCGTTGTGGTCGCAATCGTCGTCGTCGTCGTCCTCCCATGTCCTCAAGACGGAAACCACCAGCTCTGAAGAATCCAACCCTAACCTACAAAGCTGGTTGAGGAAAGCTCCCAGGGCACCGCTTCAGCGGCAAGCTGGCAAGGCTGGTTGGGAAGCGTGCATGGCGGTATAAGCTCGCCTCCGCCATCGCCACTCCTTCTTTCAAACGAGTAAAATGAAAAAAGGAGAGACAAAAAGATAAATAGCTACACGATAAAGGCTTGCAAAGAGATAAAAGACGAAAGTAACGGGATAGTATAAGATAATATAGTCCAAGGGGAGTGGCTGATTGTGGTTCTCGGTTGCAGTGTCGAACCACTTAAAGTCCGTGTTGCATCTCTAACATTATTTAATAAATCAATTCTCATTGCTTCGTTCGAAATCGATAATTATGTCAAGTCATTTTTTAAAGGAATGGATGCTTCACAGGCTCCCTCACACTTATCGGTAATGATTACCTTTTTCGCTAGTCCGATTAAGGATGTTCAACCGTATCGTTATCCCTTGCTTGATTGCTCGCAAGTGGACGATGTTCTCCACACCATTCAACGTCCTTCTGGTGAACATAGACGTCATGCTCGCTTTTCAAAGCAACAGTTCCAACACAGTTAGTTCAAATCCAGATAATTTGCACACAACCACTGTTTGATTTAGCTCCTTCCTCTGATTTCGACTCCAATCCTCGTTCTCTTCGCTTCGTCGATAACCACAACTTGCTAGGTTTGGGGTTTCGAAAGGCACGTTATGTTTTACTCACCTTAATTTTCTAGACCATCTGCATGGAGAGTTTTAAGTTTTTCTAAAGTACCAGCGAAAGGGATGTGCTCCTGGAAGATCAAGAGTGGAGATGAGAATCAGGTTATAATCTTACCGCTGAAGAGCAATTGAACTGAATGTGATAATCTAGGCTTCTCGCGATTCTTACGAGTCCATATTAACTGTGTTTAAGAATGGAGAAACGAGTGAATGGTTGATTTGTTTAATAAGTTTATCTGTATTGTTTTCTTTTTTTAAAATCATTTATTAATTTTAGTATCAAGCTGTTGACGAGGTTTTAGATGTCAATGTATTGCTAACACGTGTGGTGCAACTGCTCTTGGTTTTAAGAAATAATTACATTTCGTTGATCCTCATAATATTTGACTACTTATTCATTAAAAAATCGTATTAATGAGTACGAGTACAATATACATCATGAAAGTACAACATTCATACCTGACTTTCTTACATCATCGCAGAGTAAATATCTCTAAGTAACATTATTATTGAAAAAATCAAATGATGTAGTCTGGTTTTCATCCATGCAAAAAGGAAGCCAAGTGAGCAATCCGTAGGTAGAGTCAAACACCTTCACAACAAACACAACGAAAATCCTTCCAGGCTCTGGAATATATCACATCCACTATATTTTCAAAACATAATACGAGCGAAATAAAACAAAACTACTAAAAGCAACTTCTCTGTTAATGATAATAAATAAATTCATTCAGCGAATTTCGTACATTTCTTATATTGCAAAATGATGGACCATGGCCACAAAGGCTAATTTGCCACCTCGAGTCCCAAACAGAAAGCAGAATCCAGGAAACGAGATTTACCACCAGATCTCAAACACATACGAGGATGGAGTTCCTCTGTCTTTACGACGAAGAGAGAGAAAGAGAATGCGGAAGAGATTGGCAGAGACAAGGCTCCACAAAGCTTCGTGAGAGCTTCTCGAGGCTTTTCAAGGAAGCCGCAGTCGAAGCTTCATGGAGAAGAAAAAGATAAAGAATGAGAAAGCAGGAAGCCGACTGATCCCGAGCATCATCGGCATCCACCACCACAGTCCACCGACAGATTTCAGACGCCTGGCATCCAACACTAGGCCCAGTCAGGCCTGGTCGGGCCCATTCATGACCTGTCCCAAAAGTCAAATTAGCACCCCTACGAAACCACTCAGAAACACACAACCCTCGTAGTTATGTAACAGAGTCCATGCGGATTAACGTAAAAATATCGATGTATCTTCAAATATAGTCCATATGGATGAAGTATATGACGTGGCCGCAGACATGCTCGCGGACACGTACAGGTGAGTTATTCATCCATTTAAAGTCTGTCCGTTGCATTCAGCAATTTCCACGACGGTAACCTCTCTGCTTCCTTGAGGCTCAAGTCACGTTTCAGCTCGCGGCATTTACCGGGGCTGGTTTGAAAATTTATGGGTATTATTAGAACGATGCCCGAATTCGCTTGCCCGAGCCTGTTTTCGGTCCCGCCCCATTTCAAGCAGCTTTCATGTGTCAGGCATATCCTCGCCCATCGCCCCCACTGGAAGGTGATGGCAGGATCATGGAACCCTTGAAAAACTTCCACAACTGTAAACTAACCTATTGTTAATTCTATGCCATTTTGTAAGGAATTCATTGTATCAGGAATTGGGGTTAGGACTTGAGGCATTTTTTTTTTTTATCAGAAACGCAAACCCATCGATTCTCATGAATGGTTGATTGGGTTGGGCGGAAATAAGGGAGTCAATAAAAGCATTCAAAGAAGACTCTCGAGGACCGTCCGATCGAATACATCGACGTCGTATCGGTGATCCTAGGTCTGCGCCGTTGGATATGCACAAGCTCTCTGTCCTCGTGCACTCGCACTCTGGAATCCACGATGTGGAGTGGTTCTCTACCCAGCCGTTGGATGAGGCTATCGGACGGAGGATATTGTAGGGGTTTGACGATCATCCATCGACGGCTCAGCGTCATCTTCCTGAAAGCATTTCGCTCTCCGTCTTAGTGCGGAACGAGCTCATTCCCTTGTGTGCGTTTGGGGGAGACGCCCCCGCTGTAGAGACCAAGGGCCTGTGAAGGCCCCGTCTATCGGTTACAGGTTGGCGATCGGGGAGAAGCAGTTACTCTTGGATTCTGGTGGTGTATTGAGTGCTTTGGTGTTGGATTTGGCAGCCTTTTGGTAGCCATTTAGTAGTGATCGGGGAGGACCTTGGAAAGAGTATCTGTTCGCGGCGTATTGGGGTTATCGTTTCGGTGCGTCGTGACAGGTTTACAGGATTATAAGACTAGCGGGGACTTAAGGCTGCCGGGATTTTAAAGACTTTTTTGCACCTTTTAAGAGGCTGGAAGAATATTTAGTTGTCTGTACGGTGATAACCTCTGTGTCGCGGTTTTCTTGGTGATAAAGACAATTTAAGGAGGAGATATCTTGTTGTTGCTGTCGATTTTCACCGAAGTCTTCAAGATTTTGCTTGTTGTGACTTAGTGGTGTCATCGTCTTGCAAGCGAAGAGAAGTTTTGGTTGGTTCAGTGCTTGGTGGAATGAATTTTCAAGCTCTGTATTTGAAGCGAAGGACGTTGCCGTTGATGCTGTAAAGTGCTTTTCGTGAAGACAATTCTCCTTTGGAAAGAGCCTATTAACCAGTTTCGCCTAGTCGTCGGTATTTCTCGCTTCGGTAACCAGTCACTCAGTTTTTCTATCGACAATGGAGAATATAGCGTGAGCAGTTCGGGTATTGCGGACGGGTCCTGTTTCTCGGCAATCCTTAGCGATGGCATTACGTTTGTAACTCTGTTCATTTTGTTCACTCTCAACTTCCGGATTGTTCCACTGTTCTTCAAGTGTCTGCTTGAGCTTCTCATCATGGCATTCGAAATGATGTATACCTGCACTACTCTCGTGGGACGACAACCCCGAGAGTGCAGCGTGAGAGGCTTCTTTGCGGCTGTAAGGATTAAGAATTTATGTTCCAGGGGTGATTTCGATGTAGACCGAGGTGGCACTCGGTGTGCCTATTCTCCTTTGAAAGAATCCTTCACGCACGGAGCCTGCTCTGCCTCTCCCACTACTCCCACGGAAATGTTTTCCTTGGGACCAGAGTTCAGAAAATACGTAGCACCCACACATGCAGTTTCGAGTACACAGAGGAATTGTTACAAGAAGATTGCGGCTTGTGTCGCAGGCTTCACCTCTTCCTCCTCTGCGCCAGCATCCAATACCTCCGCCCCCTTGAGTCAAAGCCGAGGTAATCAATTTTTAGCGCCTTCCCCTCCCACCTCCTCCACGAGATCTCTCTTTTCTTCTGCCGCGTTCTCAAACTCTATGGGCGCTGACGGATCCCGCAAAGCCCTCATGAGTACTTTCTCGAAGTGCTCCTTCGTGGAGGGCATGAAGCATTTACCATGCTCTTCCTTCTTCCAGTATCCCTGGAGTAGTGGCACTTCTGCTGCCCGTAGTAGCCAGGTGCATGAACCGGAAAATGCATCTGTTAAAAGCGTCTCAAGTATCGAAGTTCCTGAGAACTCGGTTGATACCACCACTGCTGTGGATGAAACCGAGCAGAATGAAAAGTCTAGTTGGTTACCGAAGTGGTTCAACCTGACTGCTGAGGATGGCAGGACCATCATCATGACATTTACGGTGTCGCTTCTCTTCAGGTGGTTTGTTGCCGAACCACGATTCATCCCGTCACTTTCCATGTATCCAACCTTCGACATTGGCGACCGTATTATCGCCGAGAAGGTATGCTCTCAATTTTTTGGTTGCTGCACTTTTTCATGCGTGAGTTATTTATTTGATTAGCCGCTAGCATGTTGTTTGGAGTGTTGGCGCATTCGCACTCACGAAAACTTTTCTTTCTCCTCATTTCTTCGCAGTCTCTTGGTTTTGCAGCACCCGCTGATGCACCGTGTAACTTGCTCTGTCTGCAGGTTTCGTATTTCTTCAGGAAGCCCAGTCTTAATGACATCGTCATTTTCAAGGCTCCCAAAATTTTGCAAGAGAAGGGTTTCAGCGCTGGACAAGTTTTTATCAAAAGGGTAGTTGCGATGGCAGGTGACCTTGTCCAGGTGATTAACGGTCAGCTTGTCGTTAATGGTTTCATCAGGACAGAAGACTTCACCGCCGAACCACTTGCGTATGATATGGCGCCCATTGTACGAATCCTCATCCCCACACTGTATTTTTGTGTGGAATCCTAGGAACTAGTTGTAAGCTCTGTACATTCTACTACTGTTCTAGCATTAGCCTGTGGGTGCTGACGCAAGAATTTGTTAAACCGTATTTGCAGAAAATACCAGAAGATCACGTTTTTGTAATGGGGGATAATAGGAACAACAGTTACGATTCCCACGTCTGGTATGTTTTTCTCTCCTCGCTGGATGTTAGGCATAAATAAAACCTTTCGGCTGGTGACTTCAACATAGTTTGTCCTCGAATTTTTCAGTCTTTTCTTAGACTTGTGAGGGTATTGTTCTCGCTTAACACAAACCATTCATGCTAGATCATTGACGTTGTGATGCGATGTCTCTTGCAGGGGTCCACTTCCTACTAAAGATATTCTTGGACGTTCTGTGTTACGCTACTGGCCACCCGAACGTCTAGGCAGTACAGTTTTTGATACGACTGATCTCTTGAAGTCGTCCTTGCCTTTGCTGCAATCTAAGGAGACCACCATTTCTTGAATCGGCAACTTAGATATGATTGCACATTTATCTGGGTACATTATCCAGTCAAACTTGACTTTTGTCATTCAATGATCACTCCCACGATTGAGATGGGAAGGTTACCCTCTTACTCGGGTACCATGAAATGATACTGGCCTTATGAACTGGCCTCATCAAGGCTCCTGACGTCAGTTGGGAGACTAAGAATAAGCTGAAGGTTTCAGATGCCTTGCGAAATCAGCTGAGGTATGATCGGACTCTAGCAAGTCTTGGAAGTCTTGGAGCGCTTCTCTTTCTGGAGATTGTCGGCTTCAGAGGTCTCGAAGACCAACATGAAAGAATCGATCGACTGTTCACAAAATCAGCTCCCGCTGTATAACGTGGGATGGGCGATAAAAATTTCCAGAAATGACCCTAGTTCAACGATACTGCGTTGACACTCTAGTCTTGAAGATTACATCATGAAATGGAGTTCGCTTGGGACTCAGTGATACAAACTATAATGATCAAACTTGATGCTTTAACACCCTGTGATTGAAAGTGGGACTTGCCGACCGCAATTACCAATCTCTGCTTGTCGACTGACCATCAGCCGACCGTTGGGAACAACCTGAAACTCCAGTTGTTTTTGCCGACATGTGTCCTGGTATTCATGTTTACACGAATACTATTTCGGATTTATGGCACAATCTTAGCTTGCGTTGCGATGCCTGATGGCCCCTGTGCTGCCATCGAGTTCTGCGTTACGTATGCGCTCACAGAACGGGCAACTTTAGTATGTTAAGATAGCCGAGCATACCACTGATTGCGGAAGTGGCTGAAGTACCTGACAATGACTTTTTTGTATTATGTCGTATGTAATGGGATTTAGTAATCCCCGCGTGTTGCTTTGATTTTTGCTTTGGACATCTGGTTAGATCTCATGAACAAACTGTTTTGATCTTGTTACAAACCTGCTGTATGTTTGTAAATTGTACGAAGCCTAGTATTTTGAGAGCTTGGAGCTGTTGTTGATTCGGTGTATTTGGTTTTTTATTTTTTATTTTTATTGTGAATATCATTTGTGATTTAATGCTGGATTGCTACGACTTAGACTACTCAGCTGAAGATGATAAACGTAATATGCCATGTCATTTTCATATTATCCGTTTTCTTCAAAATATTATGTGCAGTAGCTTTTCATACCTTCTTCCATCTGTTTACTTGAGAAGTATGCGGCTGACCGTGTTGTTTGTATATGCATCTTCCAATAAGCAAGAAATTGCCAAAAATGATCCTTGTGACAACTTCTCTGTACATTCTTGTATTCTTTTGTCTGTTCGTGCCTAAAATTTGAGTGAGACGCTTCAGTGCGATTCTGGAATTGAGCTGTTCATCTATGTGTCTGGGAGTATGAGTGAATAGATCCTGATTCTTTGAACCATTTCAAATTCTCAATATAGCTGATACAACTAATTGCAACCTTTCTATACACTTGCACGAATGCTAAATACCTGAAATTGAGAATGCACGAGAATTGAAGGTATTTCAAAAGCTTTCTTTAAGTAACCATAATTATCTTACAGTATCATTTAATTTTTTTTACATCAGAACACGCAAGAGCAGAATACGACATACTTTCCATAAGAGACTTTACCATCTCTGCCCCTACCCTTTTCATTTGTAATCGGTTCTTTCCCTCGACAACCTCAGAAGAGCTTGCATGCAATTGATACGAAATCACTGAAAATACTACGATCAAGCTCTACAGCTTTCTGGACTAGCAGTGATGTATTACGTACTCAACCATCATCTCTAGATTCTTTCAGTAGGCATGTGAAGGTTCACTTCAAATGGCCTGTTACAGACAGGTGCCTACAGAAGCTGTTATAGTATCTTAATAGCCTGCATATCTACTGTGATGCAATCAGTATTCAGTTCCTGGAGGATCGGCTCCAGCACCTGCTCAATTACCCGACATCCACTACACTCACGTTCCAACCATTCTTTCTCAAGCCATATGATGTGACCCTACAAATCTAACAAGAGTCCTAATTGGACGTGATAGAGCATGAGCTCTTGAGAAGCACGTATCTATGCTAAAGACTTGAGATGCATGGGGCTGTAGTAATTGGACATTCACAATGGATGTCAGCAGGGATCAATATTTAGGTGACGTCTAAAATACTGGCCGCTGATACGGAAACAGTCAAGGGAACTTAATGGGAGCCGTTTGCATGAATTTTTGGACAAGATCAACTTGCTCCCCTGGATGAACACTGCCGAAACCTGTAGCAGTTGCTGCTGGTGGTGGGAGACTAACGTACTTCATTTCCTCAAAACTCTCATGACCCAACTCTCTAAGAAAAGAGGTCATAGGGAACCGGGCAGAGCTGCTCCAGTCGGCAGATGAGAACACCGTTGGCACATTCTCTATTGGGCTCCTCATGAAGGTTGTAGAAGACCTAACGATTCAAGACATTTGTAACTTCCACTTAAAAATCGCATAAAATCCATATGATACCAGCATCATAAATGCAGCCCGTGCACACTTGCACAATGTCCAGGAGCAATAAACGAATTAAGATGTTCACACAGATGATTTTCTCACGACCTAAAGTAAAATGTTAAATTATTGCAAAGCAGATACTCTTCTTGTACATCACAAGATTTAGATTTGTGATCATCAACATCCACATATCAGGAAATTTACGACCGAACTGTCACAAAATACATACATCAGTCCTGGGAAGACAGTGTCCACTTGCTCAAGCAAAGAACAAGCCAACAACTACTCTCAACTTGACCATGATCGTCCTTATCCTTTATCAAACCCTTGAATCGTGTACCCTGCTTATCAAAACCGAGATGTCCTTGAACATCGTCAAATTCAGAAAGACTTGACACACAGGTCTCAAGACGACGAAAGGTTCTTGGTTGACAATGATTAGAGGACTGCGGAAGTCTCTGAATCTGCAGGTATTCAAAAGGTGTTCGTTGTAATTCAGACTTTCCTCTGCTACTATGTAAGATTTCTCAAGGGAATCATTGCAAAACAAGCTTATACGCACACAATTCATCGAAGTAATTCGAGTTTCCACTGTACTCATCATGAACTGCTGCAATGTTACAAATAACTAAACATGCCATCAATGTATTCGCCTGAAAATTACATTCTTTTTAATATGAAGCTGCTTAGTATCAACAGTTCTTAAATCAATGAAAAAGATGTACTTGATGTCGAAGAACATGAAAATACTTAGCAGGTGAAGTGACATTGACAACCTACCAATTTACTTCCTGGATTTTCCGTCTCAGGCTTGGATCCATTTCAGGTACGGCAAATGGGTAGCCATCACTCATCTTGGAAAACCGAAAAAGTGTCCGTTTCACATTTCAAGGCGGATCTGACGCATTGTGCATCAGAATTATATGCATGAACACTATCTGGTACTGCTCGTTGTACATCTTAACTTCGTACGATTAAACTAGAGATACTGAATGAAAACTGCAAAAGTCGACTTCAGAATCTGGACTAAGCACTGAGCTAGGCTTTGCAGGAAGGATATGCCTCGCACTACAACAAGAGTACTATGAATCTTCTACCTGCATCTATGAGGAAACCCTGAAATTTAATTCAGACTATTGACAAGGTGCTGTCCAAGGTTCACAGTAATAGCAAAACCTCCTTCTCACAGAATAAACAAATCATGTACCTGGAGGTATCTTTCAAGACGATCACTTGAATGCACTGGTTCTTGTCCATCATACCCATAAGGGAGGATGCATAAAAACTGATGAAGAACGACTTGAGCACCATCAGCAAAGTCACCAAACTGAGCTTCCCATTGACAAAACAATTAGGATTCTCCATAGAGTAGCCCAGCACGAGCCCTAATACCCCAAACTCAAATAGCGAACTGTGTGACAAACAAAGCGAAGTCAGAAAATGCAACACAAAAAAGTTTAGGGTTGACTTCAGGCACCGCCCCGCAAGGTGTTTGAAGGTGCTATAAAACCCCACTATAGAGCAATCCAAGACTCTTTTTTGCAATAAATACATTCCACATATTACGAGTAGGTTGAACTTGCTAGTCATTGAGATCATAGTACTCTTACCCGTTACTACCGGTGAATATATCTTCATTCTGATTGCTGACAATATGGTCGAGCAGGCAATATTTCGCTCCAGTATTCCGATCATGTAACTTAGAGTAGCGATGGCTGAAAGTACCCTTCTCCACATCATGCCCGCTAAGCCGTACATGGTCACCTGTTATGGAACTCAAATGGTTGTTACAGAAATGCCAAAACAATAAACATAACAACCTGACATTACAGTGTTATACGTCAGATCCTACACTCAACTCGTTTGTGCTTATCATTATTTCAGTTGCAAATGGTTGACACAGACCAAAGTCGTGATTACCCGTGCGCTTTTATTTACTCCATGGAATCATTCTATCCTATTTCGCAGTGGTCTTTACGGTGTCGTCAACTTCAACTAGTGAATTTGTTTCGTAAAATAAAGTTTTGTAGTAGTTCCGAGGTTTTAGTAGCAGTGAAAAAATAATAAAGAGGGAGGGGGTGATGTGGGGTTACTAGAAGAAAATGAGAAAGCAAGTGCTTCTGCAGTTGCCCAATTCACACCTTCTCCCATTCTATCAATTTCTTCCTTGAATCATACACCCTTTGGAAGGGGCAGGACAAAACTTCCCCCAGGCAGGCACTGGGTGTGTTTTTGTTTCATTTATATATGCAGATTTATTGATTTAATTTTGTTGTTCTAATCTATGCCCACCTGCATTTATTGGAAACTCAACCACAAAGGTTGGAGTAGGACATGGAGTGTTAGAGGTAGAAGTATAATTGAGCGCCAGAGATCAAAGAACTAGGAGAAGAATACAAGAAAGAACGGAGTAGAGTAGGCAAGGCCAAGGGCTCAAAGAAAGATGGTCAAAACTAAAACCCCACCTACTAGAGTTGAATGTTACATTTGGAATTTGAACCTTGTACTTTTAAAATTAAATTGCTCTGTTTTCTACATACACTAACCTATTTGATTAATGTTTAGTTTGTTGATTCTTGCTATTTATAAATAAATAATTTTTGTATAGTTAGTTGCATATTGTTGCCTTAAAACAATTTGTTAGCTATAGGCTAGTCAAAATCTAAGTCTAAAGAAAATCTTGCAGTAAAATCTTAATATATGGTTGGTTTTTCCAAAGAACAATATAGAGGGTATGAAAAAAAATAAGAAATAATAGTGGATGAGCTTAAGAGTGATTAGTAACAATACTTAATGAAGCTAAAACTTTCAATAAAGATAATTTATAGAAAAGAAACCTTTTATTGTTGATATTATGTCTTTATTTCAATTATTTGCTTAATTTGCTAGATTTATCTATCTATTATGAATCTAATTTTTAAGAATTTTAAATTTTTCTATTAATTTTTTTTATTAGTATTATATTTTTTCTTAATTTTAGTTATTGTGGTTTTTAAAATTTCTTTTTTATAATTTTCTTACTTCAATTATTGATCAGACATAACATTTTAAAAGTTTGTATCTTGTATCAAGAGTCTTTATATTATTCTAAAAAGTTAAATTAACTAATAATAATTTTTTTTAAGGAGATTTCTTTTCCAATATATATATATATATATATATATATATTAATAACATGATTATATAATTTAATTCATCTTTTATTATGTTTTTAAAATTTTAACAATCTCCAATTGTGTGCAAAATAAAATACTTGAAATAATTCTTTGAGATAGATAAAATTAAATACAATCAACTAAGCTACTACTATAACTAAAAAACTTCTATAAGTTTGTCTTCATTTTTGTTGTTTTTTATTCTTGATGTTTGAATATTATTTTATTTAGAACTTTATAAATTAAAGAAAAAAAATTTGGATCTTTATTTCAATACAAATATAAATAAAAAACCTATTCTAAAAATGTTGTAGAAAATAACAATTAATATCTTTTATTAATAGTATAAGTGTATCTTAAGTATAATTATAATATATAGAATGTATCCAATTGATTTCAATTACTTGAATAATGTTGAATATTAAAAAATATTTTGAACTATCTTGTGTTTATATGAAAATCAATCAATATTAGTTATAAAGCAATTTAATATTATTTATAAATTGGCTTCAATAAATTTTCTACAAAACTATGTAGATATCAGTATTTCAACAAAAAAAATTCTAAATTATTGATATATGAGTGGTGAAGATTGTTATTTCTTTATCTTATAAAAGATCATACTATCATTTCTATAATCTATGTAGTTTTCAAGCTTGAAAATCTAGCAAATATTGACTATTCTAAGAAATAAAATTACTAAAAAAATGATCTATATTTCATAATATATACATAAGGTTCATAGAAATAGTCAATCTTTTTGCAGACAAAGAATCTTTAATTGCAAAGACGACAAGTAATTCCTTCTAGAATCAAAGCTAAAATAGATAGTTGAATGAATCACTTTGGATCTATCTAAGAATCAAATAAGAATATGACTACTTATAAAGTTTCTTTTACCTTGATGAAAATGTCATAGATTCCAACATTTATCAAGCAATTCTATAATTAATGCAATTAAATACTTAAGATATCCATGATAAGTTCCAAGAAAAAAATTCTAAGAATTATAGTAAGAATCATCAAAATAAATAGTAGTACTAAGATATGGTATTTATTCAATATTTATTTGAAAGTATCAGCCAACAATTTCAAAAATATTGACAATTCATTGGCAAGATTGCGTTTGTGCTATTTAATTACATATGTAATTTTTCAATTGATTCTTTTAGATTTCAGATTAAATTGCTCGTATATTTGAAAATCCATGTTTGATAGATGCATGTTGTCATAAAAAATTGCTACTTTTGTATGACTCTTTTTAGAGACTACTTAAAGTTCAATCTTAGCCACACAATTTTTTTCACCTATGATTATCAAATTCTCTACTAATGACACCGTATTTTTTGTTAAACTACCAATTTATCCCAATATGACTATGGTAAGTCATGTCCTAATATAAATATAATAAGCCATCATTACATAATTTTTAACAAAAAAATATACATCTTATTATAAAATAGGTGTATGAAAAATATCAATGCTTGCAACTTATTCAAATATAATTTGTTTAATTACAAACACTTTGAAAGCTCCAATAATATTCAACTCAATAAAAATCTTTATCTCTAGTAAAGTCATCAAGGATGCATAGACACCCTCTATGACAAATAGCTATCAACAACATGAATCTCAAAGAACCAAAAATTGAATACATTCTTATGTAACTCAAAAATAATAGATATTTACTCAAAACTAAAATAGTATTGAAATTAGAATAGCTATTACGAAAGACAAGAAGACTAGAAAGTCTTGAAATAAGACTAAGGGCTAAAAAGACATTGACGAGAGTGAAAAAGTGAAAAAGACTTTACTCTTGCATTCCTATATACTATCTAATTAGAAGCTATCTAACAACATTTTATAGAACCTTTGATATGTGTCCAAAATTACAAGACTTATGTCTAATTTATAAGACAAATATCTTATATGTGCACCAAGAAGTAAGCTTGTTTTACAAGCTATTAGTACATGCAATTTGTGGCTAATTTGTTGGTCAAGTTTCTAATCTATCAATTAACTACAAATGCATCTAAAATCAAATATGTATCTATGAAACTTTTAAGAAGCTTTCTTATAAGATAATATTAAATCTATCTATATTTATCTTTTATTTAATACTTCTTATCTAGATAAAATATGTATGTATATGACATTACTTTCCTTTTAGGAACAAATTCCATGAAGAATGGCAATCTTATGTTGAAAGAATGTAAGATGTAGCAAATTTTCTTTGATACATACTCTAATCATTGTTTCCTTCAAAAGTAGTTGATAGATTTTTTTAGCCATTAATAATGTTCCATACTAGGGCAAAAAGACCATCTTTTTGTTTCATCATTGTTGAGGCCTTCATAATTCTTTTCAAATAAAATATTTGAAATACCATCAGGGCTAGTTGCTACCTCTAATAATATTATCAAGCATTGGTAGTCTCTTCGAAGGTTATGATACCAAACATGTTGAATTTCACTATCTATTTGAAGAAGTACATGTCATTCTTGAGGGTTGTCATTTCTATTGCACCATCTTAAAAGTTGTAATAGTTACAATGTCTTGTTTGATAATTCAGAAAATGATAGCTCTTGAGTTGAATCTTTTGGTTGTTGATTCTTCATCTCTTTAGTATCATAAATATATAAAAATTATAAACAAAGATAAAAGGTAGAATTCAATCTTTTTTTTAAAGCAGGTTACTTTTATAGTAGAAATTTGCTATCCTTCATCTTAATTTGGATAGATGTTGTTGATGAAAAGTTTCAACTTTCTTTACTATATCTATGAGATTCTTAGCTAGCTTCCACGTATATTCATTAATATCATATCCATGCCAATGAACAAGATATTCTAACCTATTTTGACACTACTTTGAATTTAAGACTTTTTCAATCTTATACTCTTAATTATTATCCTTTTCTATAAGAAAAAGTATCATTTATGATTGTCTTCATATATTTTCTTGTATAGCTCAAAAAAAAATATATGAAACATAAGATGGATCTTCATAGACTCCAATAGGTGTAATTGGTAAGAAATTGGATTATATATTTTTATATAAAAAATGGTTCAAGTCTACAATAATCCAACTTGTCACAAAAGCAAATAGTCTTGATATTATGATGAAGTAACTTTATCTTATTACCAACATAGAATTGATGTTATTCTTTGCAATAAATATTTGTATTGATCTTTTGTTGTTCTTGAATATATTAGAGTCGATCCTTCATTATTGTATGTAGCTTTGAAAAAAAATTTACCAAATCTTCCTCCATAAGATTATCAACTTTTGAAAAGTCAAAAGTATCAAGTTATAAATAATAATCATAATTAGCAAAAAAAAGTGTTTATTGAGTAAAAAAATATACCATATTATTATAAGCAAACTCTATTAATGAAAAGAAAGTTGTCTAATCATCTTATAGATAGTTAATGGTACACCTCAAATATTGCTCCATTTACCTATCAATTTGAGAATGAAATATCAAATATAGTTTTATGTCTATCTATAAAAATTTTAAAAAAATCCTCTAAAATCTTAATATAAATTGTTTCCAATCTAATATAATATCTTTTGACAATCCATTATAATAATAAATATTATCAAAAAAAATTTAGCTATTTTTTTTACCTATAATATATTTTATATATGGTACAAAATGTGTGATCTTAGTGATTTGATCTACTATTATGAATATAGAATCATAAGAACCTAAAACTAAAAGATTTGTAATAAAGTCTATAAAAACAAAAGACCATGGTTGTTTTGGAATGGATAATGGTTGAAGAAGTCTATAAGATTAATAAAAAAGATTTTTTAATCTTAAATAAATATCAAATGATTTTATAAATTTTTTAATTGCCTTCTATATTTGAGGCCATCAAAAATTTCTTGATATTAGTTCCAAAGTTTTATTGTA